TTGATTTCCCTGATCACTAAGGAAGTTGAGCATGACCTTAAGTGTCTTTTGGCCATTTGAAGTTCTTCTGTTGAGAATTCTATATATCTATTGACCATTTGTATATCCTAATGAGAATTTAAAACTTCCTATTGTGCCAGGCGTAGTGGCGCACGCCTTTAATCCCAGCACTTGGTAGACAGAGGCAGGTGGATCTCTGTGAGTTTGAGGCCAGCCTGCTCTACAGATTGAATTCCAGGACAGGCTCCAAAGCTACAGAGAAACCCTGTTTCAGAAAAAAAAATGCTAGCCGGGCGGTGGTGGCGCACGCCTTTAATCCCAGCACTTGGGAGGCAGAGGCAGGTGGATCTCTGTGAGTTCGAGGCCAGCCTGGTCTACAAGAGCTAGTTCCAGGACAGGAACCAAAAGCTACAGAGAAACCCTGTCTCAAAAATCAAAAAAAAAGAAGAAGAAGAAGAAGAAGAAGAAGAAGAAGAAGAAGAAGAAGAAGAAGAAGAAAAATGCTTCTGGGTACACCTTTTCTTGACAGAACCTAACTATTGCAGGAAAACAAACATCAGACAACATTGGCATCACCTTGTGTTTTGTTTCATTTTAGTTTTTGTTTGTGTTTTGTTTTGGTGCTTTTGACTCAAGATTTAAAAACTGGTAGAGTGAAGACAACTGCAGTTGGTTGGAGCAAGCAGCCTCAAAGTTGTACCATGGAACTGAGGAGTAAGATTTTTTTATTGTGGTTTTTTTTTGTCATTGTTTTTGTTTTGGGTTTTTTGTTTTTGTTTTTCAAAGCAGAGTTTCTTAGTAACTATGAAGATAGTTCTAGAACTCACTATGTAGACCAGGCTGGCCTTGAAATCACAGAGATCCACCTCCTTTGCCTCCTGAGTGCTGGGATTAAAGGCATGCACCACCACTGCCCATCTGTGGCTGAGAATTGATTGTACATTGCTTTTTTGTTTAATAAACATGCCAATAAACTACATGGTTAAGGAAGTTATTCATCCTCCCAAAACCGACCCTACTCTGGGAAGGATGATGACCAAGTCTGTGTCCCAGGCCCGCACAGGGGAGGTGGCAGCACAGGGGAGGTGGCAGCACTGCTTTTGTGTAGATTATATGCATTGCTGGTTTTTAAAAATCTTCTGCTATGGTGGTTTGAAAGAAAATGGCCCCCATCGAGAGTGGCACTATCAATAGGTATGGCTTTGTTGGAAGAAGTGTGTCAGTGAGGTGGTGGGCTTTGGGGTCTCCTATGCTCAAGCCACTCTCAGTGTGGCACACAGTTGCTTCTGTTGCCTGTGGGTCAAGATGTAGAAATCTCAGCTCCCAGCACCATGTCTACACTCCCATGTTCCTCTCCAAGATGATAATGAACCGAAACACTGAAACTGTAAACCAACCCCAATTAAATGTTTTCCTTTATAAGAGTTGCCATGGTCATGGAGTCTTTTCATAGCAATAGAAGCCCTAAGACATCTGCCTTAATACCTTTTTACTTTTGTTTTTAATTTTGAGTAACCAGTCATAATGCCCTCCTTTTTTGTCCCCCAACTTGGGATTATAAACTTTTGGTTTCCCTGGGAGTGGGTGGAGATGTTTATACATCCAGAGGCTCACCTGCACACTGACTTGAGACCAGTTTAGTAAAAGTGAACTCCTTACAAACAAATAGAAAAGAAGTGTTTGTTTTGGGTAGAGAGATGACTAACTAACCTGTTTTGAACACTTCCTGCTCTTTCAAAGGACCTGGGTTTAGTTCTCAGCACCCACATGGTGGCTTACGATTGTAACTCCAATTCCAGGGCATCTGATGCTGACTTCTAGTCTTGAAAAGCACTAGATGACACACATATACATAACACACAGGCAGGTAAAACACTCATAAGTATGCTTTTTTTTAAATTAAAAAAATATTCATTTTCACATGGTGACAGACTTATCTTTAACATATATGTGTTATACATTGTATATATATGGAAATATATATTTGTTTTTTTGTTTGGGTTTTGTTTTGTGGGGCGTTTTTTGTTGTTTGTTTGTTTTGTTTTTTTCTGAGACAGTTTCTTTGTGTAGCCAAGAGTGGCCTGGAACTGGCCATATAGACTATGCTGGCCTTGAACTCACAGATACTCGCCTGCCTCTGCCTGCCCCCTTGTGCTGAGATTAAAGGTGTGTGCCAGAGCTCTGTTGTTTTACTCTGCCATTTGCGTCTAGAACTGCAGGATTGAAATTAGTGTATGGTGTGAAGTAGAGGTCATTTTTCTCCAGTTCTGAAGGTCATTTACACTAAGCAAGTGTGCTACCACTGCCCTGCACCTTCAGACCCAAGACTGTTTCATTTTGCCCTCAAAGTGGACGTCAGGTTGAGCAGAACATTTACTAAGAGGTCTTTTCCACTGTTCTGCAGAGCACACTTTTATCACCAATCAGGGTTCTGTGTGGTGTGGCGTCTCTGGTTGGTTTTATCCTTTGGACTTTTTGAAGGGCCTTGTGTCACTACTGCACTTATTTTTTCTGTTTGTTGGTTGTTGGCTAGGCAGTTTTATTGTTGCTTGTTTGTTTTCTTTAGTTTTGGGGAAAGGGTCTCACTCTGTATCCCTAACTGTCTTAGACCTCAATATGTAGACCAGACTGACCTTCGACACACAGATTCTCCCCAAGTGCTAGATTAAAGGTATGATGTCTGGTAGTCTGTCTGTCTCTCTGTGTCTGTGTGTCTGTCTCACTTTCTCGTGTCTCCCCTCTTTCCCCTCTCTCTCTCTTTTTTTTTTTGTTTTTGTTTTTAAGATTGCACTGGGGCCACTGGTCAGTGGTGGCACACACCTTTAAACCCAGCACCTGGGAGGCAGAGGCGGAAGAATCTCTGAGTTTGAGGCTAACCTAGTCTGCAGAGTGAGAAAGAAAACCTGTCTCAAAATAAAAAATAGAAAAATAGAAAATAAGAAAAGAAAGAAAGAAAGAAAGAAAGAAAAGGTTGCACTGGGGCTGGGGAGATGGCTCAATGGCTAAAAACACTTCAACACTTCCTGTGCTTACAGAGGCCAAAAGTTAGAATCGAAACCCCATGTTGAGCAGCTCATAACATTCTTACCTCTGTGGGAACCGGCGCACACATCACCTACATTCATGCAACACACATTAAAAAATAAAAGCCCTAGGGTTTGGAGAGATGGCTCAGTGATGACTCAGTGGTTAAGAGCACTGACTGCTCTTCCAGAGGATCCGGGTTCAATTCCCAGGAGCCACATGACAGCTTACAACTGTCTGTAACTCCAGTTTCAGGGGACCTGACACCCATAGCAAAACACCAATGAACATAAAGTAAAAATTAAAAAAAAAAATCCCCTGGATTTTCTTGGTTCTTTGTAACCCATTTAATTTTAGAATTAGCATGGCAATTTACACCAAAAAATGTGATAGGATTATGATCTTTCAGATCTGTAAATCACTTTGCAGAGAATTACATATTGAAGTTTGTCATCTTCCGGCAAGGAATGTTCCTCCATTTAATCTAGTAGCTTTTGGTTTTCTATGTAGAGGTCTTACACATACAGTGTTAGATTAAGACCTTGGTGGTGAATATAATGTCAATAAACACCAATGATCTATTTTGAAAAGTTCAATCTTATTATTTTTTCTTTTTTTTTTTTCAAGACAAGCTTTCTCTGTAGCTTTGGAGCCTGTCCTGGAACTCGTTCTAGTAGACCAGGCTGGCCTCCAACTCACAGAGATCCACTTGCCTCTGCCTCCTGAGTGCTGGGATTAAAGGTGTGTGCCACCATCGCCCAGCTCAATCTTAAATTTAAAAAATGCCTTTACATGGTTTGTTGTTTATATATAAGGATATAGTTTACTTTGTCTGTTGACTGTGTATCCAGCGTCCCTTCTAAATTAGGCTACAAATTCTAAGAGTTTTGCTCATAGATTCTTTTGGACTTTGCTCCTATAACTGTGATCTACCAGAATGATTGATTGTTTTCTTTCTTTCCAATCTGTATGTATACCTTTTCTTCTTGCACAAGCTAACATCTGGTGCCACGTGGGACAATTGCCCTGTTTCAGCACCAGCCTTGAGCACATCGCTCAGTATTTCACTTTGAATGGGGTGTTTGCTGGGGATGGTTAAGGATATTCTTCACTAGGCTGAGGAAGTTGCTTTTTAGTTCTGAGCTGCTGTGACTTATGGAGTTTTGTTTTGTGTGGGTTTTGTCTTTGTTTGGGGGTTCGTTTGTTTTTATCACTCTAAGTAAGAAGCCCAAAGCCTCATCAGAGCAGGCAAATATTCTCCCACTGAGTTGTATCCCCAGCTCCATGTTTCTTAAAAATAATAGAGAGGGGGTTAGAGTTGTAGCTCAGAGGTGGAGTGCTTGTCTAACAAAGCAAAGCTCTGGGTTTGGGCCTCCACTCCAGAAAATAAAATAGCAGGGAGATGGCTCAGTGGTAAGAACGCTTCCTGCTTTAAGGGTACCAGAGTTTGGTTCCTAGCTCCCATGTCAGGGAGATGGCTCAGTGGTAAGAACACTTCCTGCTTTAAGAGGACCAGAGTTCGGTTCCTAGCTCCCATGTCAGGAACTTTATGGTCAAACCACTTAAACTCCAAGTCATCCTGAGTCTATGGAGATGTGCAATTATATAATTTTTCCACTTTATTTTGTTTTTCTTTAAAATTTTTGTTACATTTAGTGTGTGTGTGTGTGTGTGTGTGTGTGTGTGTGCAGCGCAGTGCATGTGTGGAGGTCAGAGGGCAACTTGCAGGAGAATGCACAGGTTTGGATTACCAAACCAGGAAAGTAATTGAAAAACAAATCTTGTGATATTTTGGTAAGTTTATAGTTTTGCATTGTGCTCTATTCGTAGCTATCTTGGTGTGCATGCAGCCTGTGGGCACAGCTGGGACATGCCTGGTAATGCATGCCATGGACGTGAAACAGTCAGTATGGATGCTCTGGGTTTTCCTCCTTTTTTCCCCATACAGCACTGGCCACTTCTTCTTTCCCTTCCAGCTGTGGGGCCTCCACACAGAAGAGCGTGGCCTGAGCCTGATTCTGAGGACTCTACGCCCTCTCGCTACCACTCAGTTTTCTGAGACAGCTTCACCGTCTCGGGCAGAATGAATGTCCTTGATGGTGTCCCCTTTAAGGTACCCAACGGCCTCGTGATGGACACAGAGCCCCACCCTGCTCCAGAGATCAGTGTCCGGTACTGTAGAGAGCTCCTCCTGGGCTCGATGGTAAGTGAGTCTGTGTCTAGCCATCCTTGGATCTGACACCTGAGGCTGAGCCCCTGGGGCCTGCCTCATGACTGTACAGGGAAGCTTGGTTTGCTTTCCAATAGTCTAGGGAGTCTGAAAATAAGCCAGTAGGCTCCATGGAGAAGGCTGGTGTCTGGGTGGTGAAGTTGTTTCCTAGGTCACCTGAGAGCCTGCCTGTGTGAGCGGCCTCTGTGAATTGCTTGTCACTGCCAGTGTGCTCCACCTCATCCCCTCTTCCCTCTCAGCTGTTAGAATCACTCTAACCCTAACCCTAACCTAATGATAAGACTCCGTTTCCAGAATCTTCTGTTAAAAAGTACAGATAATACCAGGCGTGGTGGCACATGCCTTTAATCCCAGCACTCGGGAGGCAGAGGCAGGTGGATCTCTGTGAGTTCAAGACCAGCCTGGTCTATAGAGATAATTCCAGGACAGCCAGGGCTACACAGAGAAACCCTGTCTCAAAAAAAAGAAAGAAAGAAGCACTCTGTAGGCACATTAGGGGGAATAGTTGTCCACAGCCCAGCACGCTGGCTGGGGCCTGAAAGGACCTCAAGCCTCTTCCGCTGTCCTGCAGTGGGGGTGCATGCAACCTTGGGGTAAAAGTGAATTAACTTTCTACATAATCAAATTTACTTAACGACTTTCGGGGAGAGATATGCTGCATTTGCATTTATACTTAAATATGAGGCTGTAGCTTAGGACAGAGGAAATGCCTATATCATAGGATACATGTATCATAAGGTAGACACAAATCCATATAACTTAAAATTTAAAATTGCCAAGAATTTAGAAGCTGATCTGGGGCTCCCATGTATGGTAGCGCATACTATATAATCCAAGCACTTTAGAGGCCGAGGCACGAAGATCCTGAGTTCTAAGACAGTCTAGACTGTAGAGTGAGACCTGTCGAAACAACAACAAAAAGGATATGATTCAGCTTTATTTAGTTTGCACATGAGAAATCCAAGGTGCAGAGAACAAAGATGATTTATTCAGTAACCGCCCAAGGCAAGACTGACATCTAGTCCTACTCTCCAGATCATTCTGTGGTAGCTAAGCGTAGGACCTAACACATGAGAGATAGTGTAAAAAACAGCTTAGGTTTGTAGGAAAAAATAATCACAGGAGGGTGGCGCATGCCTTTAATCCCAGCACTCAGGAGGCAGAGGCAGGTGGATCTCTGTGAGTTCAAGGCCAACCTGGTCCACAAGAGCTAGTTCCAGGACAGCTAGGACTGTAACACAAACTTTGTCTCAAAGAACCAAAAACTAACCAAACAAAAAAACCACAGGAGGGAGAGGGGAAGTGGTCCTGGAATTCAGAGCAGAGAGCACAGAGTCTAGGAAGGAGAGACCTGGGGTGGGTGGAGTGGAGAGGCTCCCGTGGCCTCCAGAGCACACAGCAGGATACCAGGTCCTGCTCTTTGTGCACAGCTCTGACTGTCCCTGTAGCCTGCACTGTGCCCTCTCTTACTCTGACACAGGCCTGTGATACAACCGTGGCTGGCCTATATCTTAGACAAGGCTGGTATGGAACTCGTAGAGATCTGCCTGCCTCTGCCTCTCAAGTGCTGGGATCACCACACCTGGCTCTGTTCTGCTCTTTTTTCCGGGGAGGGGGGGCAGTTGATTTTTCAAAATAGGATTTCTCTGTGTAACAGTCCTGGCTGTCCTGGAACTAGCTCTGTAGATCAGGCTGGCCTCCACCTCACAGAGATCCACTGCCTCTGTCTCTCAAGTGCTAAGCTCACAGATGTGCGTGACCATACCCTGTTTATGTGGTGCTGGGGTTGGAACCCAGAGATTTGTGTGTGCTGCAACCGCAAAAGTGGTTTCTATAGAGAGTCTTGAGGTAGCTGTTGCTCAGTGACATATGAATGGTGAAGGGTGTTTAAATACTGAAGTTTTACCATGGTCATTCTATTAACTCATTACTTGATTTGCCCTTCATGTCAGGGTTTGCCATTAAACTGTTACGATGTCTGTCGGCCCCAGAAACATCTGTAAAGGAGGATGGGAGTGGGCTGTGAGGCTATCCAGAGCTTAGAGCCAAGAGCTTTCCCCAGCTGGCAAATTTGACTGAACAGGGTTCTCAAGGCAGCACAGAGGGCTGTGTCTCCAGGGCCCTGGCTTGCCACAGCTGAGCCTCACATCAGCCTTCTCTCTGCAGTATGACTTCAGCCTGGAAAGGGAGGCTCTCTTCTGGGTGGAAGCAGTCGTCCGAGGACCTTGTCCCCAACAATGCAAGGACTTGGGGATGGCATCAGCTCCTCCAGCCTGGTTCTTACTGGTCAGTCCAAAACACAGTCTGGTGCCTGCACCTGCTGAAGTCAGAGGCCCAGAGGCTGGATTGCAGGAACCTGCCGAGGAGGAAGAGGAGGAGGAGGAGGAGGAGGAGGAAGAAGAAATAGGGGAGAAGAGGGATGAGGACGATGCTTCTTCTGCCAGCGAGGAGGAGATGGACTCCAGCAGCCCTCAGCCTGGCTCCCCTGCAGCCGGTCGCCGCTGCTCGCTGGATATGCTGCGAAACATAAGGTCTGAGTTGGTTGGTGCCCGGCGACGGCTCTCGGAGAGCAGACTAGCCTCGTGTCCTCGAGCCCTTCTGCACCGCTTCCGAGGCCACCGCACTCTGAGCCTGAGTGCCAGCCTGGCGCCAGCCCCTGACCCAGTACCGCAGCTCCCCAGTGAACCCGTGCTGCCTCCACGACCCTCTACCGCCGGCGCTATGCCTCCACTGCGGAGCCACAAGCCCACTGTCGCTGTAAGAACTTTGTGTTCTCCACGGCCACAGGCCCTAAGCCAAGACCTCCAAGTTGAGGGTCCCTAGCCTGGGTTCCTTCCTCTGCTCATCTGCTCCCACCTGGCCCTGTGGTCCTGCCCTTCCTACAGCCTAGTATATTCTGCTTGGAGGCTCGTCCTTCTTTCGATTTCCCACATGGTGTATGTCACAATGATTAACAGTCGCAGTTTCTAGTCCCGTCCTTATCATGCAGAGGAATATAAATTCTTTTAGGGGTGGGATGGGATAATCATTTTTGCTTACTGGGCACCTAGCAGTAGACCCTACCGACAGGGGGAGCTCAATGAATGCCTGCTGGAGACTCAGCTCTGGGGCTTCACACTGAGCAGGCTGGAGAAGCTGGCAGCTCAATTAGGAAAGACGGAACAGTTGCTTCCACCAGATACCCAATGGACAAAGGATCAAGAGGATGTGGGGAGAGGCCCAGACTCGGTTATGGGATTGGCTTTGACAGACAGAACTTATGCAGCTGGCAAGACCGGGGTAGAGGGAGTGCACAGATAGTTCCTAGAGCAGAAGGGAGCCTACAGTCCAGAGAAGCTTACCATCCATCCGGGCAGCTCACGTGTGCCAAGTTTTGTATTTATATCTTTTTCTATTAAGAAATGAGTAAATTTCAGAGTCCACAAGTCCTGGATCCAGCGGAGACTGAGGCAGATCCAGCCTGATAGCAGAATGTGGGGCTTGGACACAGTGATCTGTTCCACAGTCAGACACGGGGGTGCTACAGAATAAGGCCAAGGAGAAACTGAATCCAAAACACAGAGTCCGGAAATCTGGCCGGGTTGCTGGACCTCTCTGCCACCCTCTACTTATAAAAATCAGCGTGACAGGAGGGGCTTTGGGAACTGGACAGATTCCAGGTGTTGATGCCAGTAGGATCTTCCCTGGTCAAGATCAATTTAGTTAGCAGACCATGGTGGAACATACTTGTAATCTCAGCAGCTCAGGAGACTGAAGCAGGAGAATTGTCACTGTGGGGCCAACCTCGGCTACATGACTACTTGTACATGGCTACTCTGCTACATAGTTATGAAACAAGACATTGTCTAAATGGGGGGCAGCTGGGGCAGAAGGATGAGGCATAGGGAAACTGAGGCAGACAGTAGCTAAGAGTCTTTTTCAAAGACAAAAGCAACACCGCTGCTCAGATCCGGATGGTTAGTGGTTAGGGTTAGAGGAGGAGTCAAAGCAGAGTCCCGAGGAAGTGGCGAGAGGTGGGAACTCACGTGGTCATATTTGCACCGAGGCCCAGGAACAGGCAGCACCTGGATTTCCCTCAGACGAGGGCAGATCTCGCCTGGTGGTGTGCCAATGCCTTGCTAGTTTGATTCCCAGCTGGGCGTCCTTCCTCGTGATACCAGCCAACCACAGGAATAGCCTCTGTAGCACAGCATTTACCTGGGTGCGTATGCTGGATTCCGTCCTGCTGGGGCCACCTGGGGTTCAGCATCCCCAAGGCAGGGTTCACATCTCAAATGTCTATTGTGCATCAGGTCACTGACGTCTCTGAACCTGGATTTCAATCTGTGATATGAATTAATGGGGTGATTCTCTCTCTCTCTCTCTCTGAGACAGAATCTCATGTAGCCCACGTTGACCTCAAACTTGCTATATAACGGTTGCTGAGGACAACCTTGAACTTTTATCCTCCTGCATCTGGGATTACACGCATACACCACTAAGCTCTGTGTATGAGCTGCTAAGGACTGAACCCAGGACCTTTTGCATTTCAGTCAGGCATGCTACCAACCAAGCTATATACCTTGTCTGTCTGTCTTTTGTTATTTCTTCCTGACAGAACCTTTTACTGTGATGCCCAGGCTCACCTTGAGTCTCTGGGGTCAATCAATCCTCCTGCCTCAGCTCCCAAATAGATTCCAGGTGTGTACCACCACACTCGGGCTGTCTATCATGTCTCAGTGTTGTGAGCGCTAAGTGAAACATTAGCCTTTGTTGACAACTTTCACGTGCCAGGCCCTTCGCCAATGAATCACTTTGCTCATGTTCTGATTTATGCCTCCTAACAGCCTGATGAGGTGGGTTTAACTGGCCTCTGTTGACATCTTGGCAAAGTGAATAGAAAATGAGTTGGGCCCTGCAGGACTAAAGTTCTCCACCATGTATGTACAGTGACGTCCAGCCCAGCTGACTGTGACCTCCTTTGGTTACTGACATGCCGTCCTCTCTGTGTTTCAGTCCCTCAGCCCATACACCTGCTTGCCACCTCTTAGTGGGACACCGCAGCCCCTCAACTCCTATAGATTGCATCCTGATTCGGCAAATGACCTACTGTCTGCCCTGACCAAAGAGGAGCAAGACCTCATCTGGCCAGTGGTCGCTTTGGGCTATCCCCTAGGAAGGGCCATTGTGGCTCTGCAGAAGACAGGAAGGCAGAGCCTAAGCCAGGTGAGTGGGCCTGGGGCTGAGGGGCTGCCATGCTGGAGCCAGGTAAGGTCAAATGGCTTTTGACCTTTGACTCGAAAGAAGTGTTTCTTCCTCTCTCTCCCTCTCCTGTCTCCTCTCTTGCAGTGCTGGGGCTTGACGGGCCTTGTACACAGTAGGCAGTGTCTCTACCATTGGGCTAGAGCCCCAGCCCAGCCCTTGCTTCCATCTCTTTAGTGGTAGAACCTCAACTTGGCATAAATTACCAAGTTTTTGATTAAATTTCTAGGTCTTACTATTATGCCCTCCATAGGTCTTTAGCAGGAATCCCTATGGCCATTTAGGGGATCTCCATATTTGAACCCATGCCCCAAACACAGGAGGCTGGAGCTTTAACCAACGAAGATCCTCTCTAGAACTGTCTGATAGGGCAGTCTCCACTGAGAGATCCCTGTATGTGTGTATTTGCTCATGCGTGTGCTGGTGGGGGTGTGGATGGCAAATGCACACGCAAATATGCATAAAGACCATAGGTCAGCCTTGGGTGTCTTCCTCAGACACTACTATATCTGTTTAGATAGTCTTTTCTAAATGATGTTTGCTGCCGCAGCTAGGGTGGCTGCCTTGGTCCAGTGATTGGCGATACTTGCCAACTAGACCACATTTCTTCAGAAAACTAGCCCCATTGATTCTAATTGATTCTAAGAGTGGGAGAGAAAAGTTTCAAGGTCACCTGACCCTAGCCTTCAGACCTTGCATACTTAGTCACTTCCATCTCTACTGTTAGAGATGTCTTTGAGCAGTCCAGATCTAAAGGGTGGAAAAGTAGATTCGACCTCTCAATTGGAGGGACTACAGAGAAACCCTATCCATTGTCAACCTTCCACAAAGAGCTTCCAGTGCTCAGGAAAGGCTTCAGGGGAGTTCCCCACACTGAGGGGGGCTTCAAGGCAAGAAGAGCTCTGCTTCTGAGATAAGAAGAGCTGTGGTGACAGGGACAGTGTCTTCGGGAGATGCTACTAACCAGTCTAGCTGTGGGAGGTGTGAGAGGCAGGCTCCTGGGACTTAGATAAGGGAGGAAAGTTGGGGCCAGTTGAAGGCACTTTGAAACCTAGATCAAATGTTGGTAAATGACCCAATAGACAAAAGGGACGTACGGAAGGACCGTGAGCAGGGATGATAGGTGGTACTGAGTGCCATTGCCTTCACCCACACCCCTCCCAATGTGCCATCCCTGCTTTGCACCATTGTCTAAACGTCAGGATTCTTTGTGGTTGGAAAGCTGGCTTCATGACAAGCGGCATTTCCTTAGTTCCTTTGGGATCACTCCCCCCTGAAAGACATTTTAGTCCAGTAAGTCCCCTTGGCCTAGATAGATGATAGATGACCCAGGAGAAAGGACACTAGGTTATGGAGACAGGGGCACTTAGAAAATATGGAAAAAAGCTTTGGCCATTCCTTCCTCCCTCCCTCCCTTCCCAGCCTTCATGTGTCCACTGCAGCCAGAAGGTTCATGGGCCAAGTGCATCAGCTAAGGGACACTTGTTATAACAGGTTCCCTTTGAGGGTTTCTTTTGAGGCATATATGTTTGGAATCAGTGACTTCTGAGGCTTTATTTTGGTGTCTGAAGGTGACATCCTTATCTACCCTGAGCCTGCAGCAAGCCTGGTAGCTTTTACAGTTCTGTAGGCCCAAAAACTGACCAAGCAGTAGAATCTCCAAATGCAGATGCCCAGGCCTGGTCCCCAAGGGCCCTTCAGTGGATCTGAGGCCTGAATGTAGTTTGGTATGGTACACAGGTAGTCAGCTTTTCAGGGAGCCCGTGATTTGAAGATGTGACTGCATGTCAGAGTCACCTGGAGGAGCAGTGACAGGATCCGGCCGACAGAAAGAGAAAGCCCGAGGTCCTGCGTTAGTCGAGGCGGAAGGAGAATTGACTCAGAAGTAGCCCTATGATGTTCATACATAGCATGCATGTGTTGTTCCCCTCCACACACACACACACACACACACACACACACACACACATCATACACACACAATAAAATAAATAAAGCATTTTTGAGACACACTCTCCAGGCTGTCATGGAACTTGTAATGTTGACCAGACCGGCCTGAAACTCAGAGATCCTCCTGCCTCTGCCTCCCAGTGCTGGGATTAAAGGCGTGTGCTGCTAAACACAGCTATAAGTAATTTTTTTTAAGTTAAAATCATCTGGAGAGGCTGGTGAAGATACATGCCTTTAATCCCAACAGAAGCAGACAGATCTCTGAGTTCGAGAACAGCCTGGTCTACAGAGTGAGTTCCTGAGGACCAGGCACGGTTACACAGAGAAATCCTGTCTCAAAAGACAAACGAATACTATAACAACAACAAAATCAACCTGGAAAGCCACAAGGTTGTCCCAAAGTCCAGACTCTGTCCCAAACCAGTTATATGAGGCCCTATTAGTAGCTTTTAAAGCTGCCAGAATGGTTGTAACAAGCACCAAGGTTAAGAGCATTGCTGTGAGGGAGTGTCCACCCTCTGCCCCTGTCCACTCTCCCTTTCTCTGGAGGTGACAGTTTCTCCAGAGTCCCTGTCCACTGTCATGTCAACTCAGAGCCCCTCCTGCCATTCCTGATCAGAGTGACCGAGAGGCACTGAGAGGTCAGGTGATATGGACAGACGTCATTCTGGGACTCTGGCAAACCATCAGCTCTACCAGGGCCTCAATTTCCTCAACTGTGGAAGGGGTTGGGATGAGTGACTTTCAAAATGCGCCCAGAGCCAGGTCTATATGTCCCATAGCTCCTCCTGCAGGAGCTCTGGACTCTGCTCCTGCAGCCCCAGGCTCCAGCTCTAGACAGCCTGCTCTCAGCTGCTTCTTGTGGAAGCTTCCTGTGCTGGGACAAGCAGACCAAGAGCTCCAAGCATTTGAAAACCACAGGGCTAGACTCTCTGTGCTTCCACAGGCTCTGAAGGTCAGCAGAAACTTGACCTAATCCTTTCCAGCTACACACGTGGTTCTCACAGCCTAGAGCTTTCATCCGGCACCTGTTGGCTGTAAATCCTGCTTCGATTTGTCCTGCACTGGCGTAGTCCCCCATGTCTGGTTTATCTCCTCGGCTAAGCTGTGTGTTCCTTGAAGGGAGTTCTTAATTGGTTTTATGAACATGGCATGTGTTTATTATGCTGGTAATCGGGATGCCGTGGTGACAGACTAACCTCCCACTGTGTGCCAAAAGTGAGTGGACCCAAATATAACGAGAAGCAGTATGCATTGCAGAGGGTGGGTCTGGCCGAGAGCCCCAAGGATGGATGGCCCAGTAAAGACAGTGTGCAGAGAGGAGGCCTCCTGGGAGGAGAAGGGGCTGGTCCAGGATGGGGAACTGGAGGAGGAAGCTGAGGTCGTGAGCAGGCTGGAATATGGTGAAGAGGCAATGTATTTGTTTTGGAGACAGGTTTACCTGTGCTGGGCTGACCGCAAACTCGCTTTGTAGCTGAGCGGGATCTTGTGTGTGTGTGTGTGCATACGCATGTGGCATAGTGTTTGTGTTTATGTGTGTGCAGGTGCAGACACTCATGAGTGCATGAGAGACCAAAGAAAATATCCTAGTCTCTGCTTTATTCCCTTGAGATAAGGTGTCTCACTGGATTCACAGCTAGGCTGGCAGGCAGTAAACCCCAGGAATTCTGCTTCTACCTCCCACAGTGCTGGGGTTACAGGTTGGCATGTGACAATGTCCAGATTTTTCTGTGGGTACTTGGCACTTGAATTCAGGTCCTCATGTTCAAACACTCTTATCCACTGGGCCATCTCCTCAGCCTTGACCTTGAACTTCTGATCCTCCAGCTTCCACCTCCCCAGAGCACCGTGTGCCCAGAGTGCTGGGGATGGAACCTCATACATGCTAGGCAAGCGCGCTACCAGCTTAGCCACCTTAAGGCAGTACTTACTTTGTTTTTTGTTGTTAGTTTTTTGAGACCGGTCTTTCTATGTTACCAGCAAGCCTCTGGCTCGCTGTGTAGCCAGGCCAGCCTTGGTGTAAGGGTCCTGAAGGCAAAACAAGCCTCTGATGGCATAATGGGGGGGCAGGGGTTAGAACGAATTTTCAGCCCCTGGAGAACTTCCTTCCCTGCCACTGCCCTTTCCCCCCTCCGCCAGCTCTGGGGCAGACTGTTGCCTGCTAGCATTCTAGGTGACAGGTGTGTCTGGGGATGGGGAGGGGGCATGGGGATGGGTGGCTGAGGAGGCTCCTTTTACATGTGGGTGCTGCTCTGAGAAGGATGGGTAGTCGGGTGGTAGGACATGCGGTGACTGTGGGGGGTTGACTTTTTTGTTTAGAGCTTGTCCTGCACCCCACTTAGGCTCCATGAACGTTTGAAGATCCCTTCTCTTGGATTCTGTCCCTCAGCCTGGGACATGTATCGAGGGCCTGTTGTCACTCACCTGCTGGTTCCCAAAGGAAGCCTGTCCCTCTTCTGTTGGTTTCCTGTTACTTGTGACAGGTTGTCCAGTCTCCATGACCTTGGGGAGATCCTTGGGTGACTCCCTAGCACATCCCTGGCACCCCTCTTACTATCTTTCCCCCATGCCTTCTTTGACCCAGTTTCTCGGCTACCTCGGTGCCTGTGAGAGGCTGCTGCAGCAGGGCTATGATGAGGCCCTGGTGGATGAGGCCATGGAGATGTTCCAATTCTCTGAACACCAGGTCAGCTGGGCACCCTGCTTGGACCCCAGGGAGTTGCAGGGGTGCAATGGCTCCAGAGCAGCCTGTGGACTGGCCAGGAGAGAAGAGGCCTGCTCACACTGGGGAGAAAGTACTGATCTAGAGAGTGGAGTGCAGCCAAAGGAGGAGACAGGATGAAGTGGAGAGGGCACCTAGAGGCTGGTGGAGCTGGGGCTTTTCCGCCGGTGATCAAATCAACACAACACATATTACTGAATTTCTGATGTTTTTGAGACTCCCATACCGGAGCAGACCGAAGATGCTTGAACTCAGGGAGATTGCTGCCCTCACAGCATGCAGGGAGCTACAGAAAGAAACAAGTGTCCATGATAGCCCCTGCCTCAGTAACAGGGCAGTAGTAATTCACAGGGCTGAGAGTTGCAGGAAGGGTACCAGAGAGGAGAGGAACACGCAGGGGGGCCAGTGAGGGGGGGAGTCTTCAACAGAGGCTGAGCTCCATAAACCCCAGCAGAACCAGCACACAGGCAGTACTCCCGGCTGGGCCTGTGTGTCCTGCAGGACCCGCTGTGCACTCCCTCATCCTGCCCTAATGCACATCACAGAGAGTCGGAGTGGGCCAGATGCTGGAGCCTCAGCAAGACCGGAGCCTCCTTTCCTTGGTGGAGGAAGAAAACATAGAGTTCGCCTTCCCAGAGGAAGAGGAAAATGACAGGCACAGCCCAGAGTCAGGCTTCTCTGCTGAAGGGAACACAGCTTTCTGGGACGGCTGGAGGTGTAGTGGGCACCAGGGAGGAGTACACCCAGGATCGGGGCAGCCTTGCAGTGATGGCATACCCTGTCTTCCTCCTCTTCAGGCAGGGGAGTTCCTGCGACTCTGGCAGCAGTTCAGTGATATGGGCTTCCAGCAAGACCGGATCAAGGAGGTGCTGTTGGTCCATGGCAATCAGCGTGAACAAGCCCTGGAAGAGCTGGTAGCCTGTGCCCAGTGACAAGCCAGGACACTCTGTGATGCATGGCTGACCAGTGAAGTACCAGACTCACCACCCATCTGAATTGTATTATTAAAACCTAATAAGACAAACCAGGTAGTGGTGGTGGCGCACGCCTTTAATCCCAGCTGGTGGGAGGCAGAGACAAGTGGATTTCTGTGAGTTTGAGGCCAACCTGGTCTATATAGCAGGTTCCAGGACAGCCTGAGTTACATAGGAAGACCCTATCTCAAGCAAAACAAAACAAAGGAATCTGACAAGGTCTACATTTTCCAGACCTGGCTCCTCTTCCATTAGAATCCTTAGGTAATCCCCTGGGTCCTGCACCTTATATTCTGACTCAGAAAGCACAGATGGGCAGCCTCCAGGAACGTGGTTGGCTGGAATTATATTGTTTAGTTTTCTCTATGTCGCCTGGTTGGCGTTGAACTTGTGAGCTCAAGTGATCCACCTGTGACCTCAGTCTCCCTGGTAGCTGTCTAAACTTGTTTTATTTTATATCCGAGGCTCTCTGGAGGCCTTTGCAATGCAGCAGGCCCATGACCCTCATGCATGATCCTCTAGACCTCCAATCCGTGCCTCTTTCTGCTCTGATAATCTGGGTCCTTTACCAGCCTGTAACTTTGGGTTGGGGTGGGGTGGGGCGACAGTCGTCTCTAGCCACCCCAAGCCTATATTTAAGAGGCCTCCAGAGATTGAGAGGACCAGTTGCTGGAGTGGCCTGTGACTCAGGCAAGAGGTCACAGGTCAAAGCAGCCCACCCGAAGTCCTCTGACAGTTACCAGGATTCAGCAAAGCCTGTGGGAAAAAACCCAAGGAAATCGCCTGTGTCTCCTGGCCCTTCACTTCCTTGCTCTGTTGTGTATATGAGTCTTCTGCAGCTGAAACAGCAAGCCGGGACTGTGACCCAGGTCTCCCGCAGCCCACCTAGCTCCCTGTGCTCTCCACTAAGTCTCAGTGCCAGCCAGCTTGAAGTCACATTGAAAATACTCCCTGGTCGTCTAACTTGCTTTGAGTAAGTTGAAAGTAATGCCGAGAGAAGTATTTGGGAAAATCGGCTAGCATAAAGTTGGTCAGGAGATTGTTGCTAAAATCAGACTGACTTGGAAAAGAGTAAGCATCTGAATGCGGAGAAGCCGTGATGGACCTGGCGCTTCATATTCCACTCAGTTAATCTGGCTCTGAATGCCATTTTTATTAAGTCTGAATTAGAAGTGACCAGCTGGCAGGCCCACAAGCCACTTGCCATTCCTATCCTTCCTCCTATCCAATCCTTCCATTTCCATCCCTGGGAAACTATTGATTACAAATGAGACAATGGAAAAGTTGTTAGTTTACAATTAATATTGTTTGATTTTTTTATTTCATTCATTTATATAGTGACTTCATAAGTTTAATTAGGTTTGTTTACAGGAGCATGGGTAATTTACCAGTAGCTACACTACTGAAGAAAATGTCTCCCTTCCCTCATACTCACTAACTGCCTATAGGATCTATAGCATAGCTCCTCAGGGAGGGGTGGTGTCTCATAAGCCACGCCCCCTTAACTCTTCTTTTAGGAGGTGGAAAAATAGAGTTTGAGGCATAGACTCTGAAATCAGATGGGGCTACGAGTTCAGCATTATTGCTAGCTAGCCGTGTGATCTTTTGAAAGTTGCTCATCTTCTCTGTGCCTCAGCTTCTCATTCATAAAACAGATGCTGAAGCTTTTCAATGATGTGGTGTGGGACAGAGCATCAGATGCTTGTGGCGCTGTATCTACCAGTCCATTCACATCTGTGTCCTCCCTTTCTTTGTCCTATAGCCTCCACCCTTCCCTGCTCATCCTCCCTGTCATTAACAAACGCCAGCTGCTGTGGTTTGCTTAAGTGGTCCTGAGGTTTAGACTTAGTCCCCCGCTGAAGGTGCTGGTGGGAATGGTGGACGGAGGTTCCACCACGTCCTTGAAGAGGATCCTTCTCTCTTCTCCACTTCTCGGTCACTGTTATGTGTGCAGCTTTGGGTTCCCACCATGATGCCCTGCCTCACCACAGGCCCCCAAACAACACAACAGAGCGCCCATCGGCTGGAACCTCTGAAACTGAGTCAGAAATGCCCTTTTCTCATTCATTTCCCCAGCAACAGAAAACCGACACAGCCGCTTTCCATAACTAAACTCAAAACACCTGAGCAAACCTGTCTCCAGGAACCCAACCTCTACTCAGCAGGGGGGGGGGAAAGCAGCCAGAAAGGAGGGTTGTGGAAGGGACACCTGGGAAAATGGCGGCTCTGCAGCTAAGGGTCAGGAGGCTCCTGAGTATCACAGGTGACACACACAGGCTGCCTGTAGTTGGGCTCTGGATACAATGACCTCCAACAGGGGAGGCCAAAAGGATGGGGGAATCCAAGCTCCAGGCAAAGCCAAGCCTGGCCCAAATCCAGCCTTGCTTCCTGCCATCCCACTGCCCTCTTAGGTGTTGTCCCCTCTTCTGGTCCCACTAAGTCCCTGAGAGACACATGCCAGGTGGGAAGGGGTGATGAAGAAGGAAGGCCCCTGATCTGACAGGACAGCTGTCCTAGAAGCTGCTGCAGGCTCAGCTCTCAAACTCATTGTGTCCCCAGGGAATTGTGCTAAATGTCCTCTGTCTCACTCACCCTTGGCCACTTCCTCTGAAACACCCTGGTGATTACTGTGGGCCCACCGGACTAATCCAGGATGATCTGCCTTCTCACTGGGCCTAGCCTAATCCATCTGCAAAGACCTTTTCACGTGGAAATGACAGCTCACAGGTTCTAGGAGTTTGGTTAGATTATTGGGGATCATTATTTGCCCTGCTTCCTGGGGGCAGCGCTTTCCCCACACAATATGTGGTTAATGGTAACAGCCTGTGTATATGTCATATACGGGACATTCCTAGTGCATATATCATACATGGGACATTCCTATTTTAGAATGGAATGATAGCAAGGCAGGCTGTCTGTGTGGTCCTGAGTTCCCAGTTCCCCTGGCTGATGTGCAGATAGGTCCCAAAGGCCAGTGCCTAGGCAAGCCTGGGCCTTGCTGGCACAGCTCTATCTGAAGGTACCTTGCTGCTCTGGCTTCAGTATGAGTCCGTCTCCTGCAGCTGTCATGGGAGGAGTGCTAGCCAAGGTTTTGCCATAGCCTCCTCTCAGCCCTGACCTTTCCTTGCAGGGGACAGTGGAGGGAGACACACCCCTAGGTCTTGGTTGGTTGGAGCAGGAGAACTCAGGAGTCCCGAATCTCTTCCAGGGCCCTCCCCATCTGTCAGCCCTTTCCTTCCATACTGCCTAAGCCCAAGTCTGTCCTGTGGCCCCTGCCCTCCCATCTGCCTGCTGTTAAGAGAAGTCTACTAGTCTCCACAGAGGGCACATGGCCCTTTGCTGTGGTGGGGTCTTAGGCACAGTGTAAGAGTTGGTCAGAGGGGGCTGGAGAGATGGCTCAGAGGTTAAGAGCATTGCCTGCTCTTCCAAAGGTCCTGAGTTCAATTCCCAGCAACCACATGGTGGCTCACAACCATCTGTAATGAGGTCTGGTGCCTTCCTCTGGCATGCAGGCATACCCACAGACAGAATATTGTATACATAATAAATAAATAAAAAAAAAAGAGTTGGTCAGAGGAAGGGGCAAATCCCAGCTTCAACCTTGACCATGAGACCTTCCAGAAGAAAGATCTGGGCTTCAGGGGTCCCAAGGAAGTCTTTCCTAATGAAGGCTAGGGAGGATCTCAGAGCTTCACCCTGGATGCCTCTGGGGCACTCTCCTCTCCTTCAGACCCTAGGGGCCAAACCTTTGCTCTTACATATACTGATGCCACAGGAACACGGGCAACCAGGAATCTTTCAGAGCATAGTCTCTCGGTCTCTACCTACCTACTACCCACTCCCACCACATGTCTCTCTCTCCCCCACTCTGTCTCCCTCTTCCTTCTTTCTCTCTCCCTCTCCATCTTCCTCCCTTCCACCTCAGGAAATGAAATCCTGCTATATGCACTACCTGAGGGAAGTTTGAGATACACGTGCTTTCATTCTGGGGACAGGGTAGTTCGCACAAGGCAAGAACTGGTGGCTCAGCCCTTGTCTCTAGCAGATCCCTCTCCAGGTGCCCTGTGTTGTTTTTCCTCAGTTCCACATTGGTGCCTGTGAGGGGGCTCTGCCTTGCACCCCAGGAGCTGCTGCGCAGGACACGAGCCAAATCTGCCACCAAAGAACAGCTAATTTGGTTCTGGGGATATGGCTAGGATGTGACCCAGTCAGTTGAGTGCTTGCCTATCATACACAAAACCTTGGGTCCGAATTCCAGCACAGCATAAACCAGGAGTGGGGTTGCATACTGGCAATGCTAGCACTTAGGAGGTAAAGGCAGGAGAATCAGAAGTTCAGGGTCACTCATTCTCAGTCACATCTAGAGTTTGAGGCCGGCCTAGGCTACAGAAGACCCTAGGGTTTTTTGTTTGCTTGCTTGCTTTTATTTTTTTAATACATTCACCAGGTCTCCCACCATGCATATCTTTATTGATTAGCATACCAGCTGGGCACAGGTCAGGGCGAAAGTACATGAAAAAACAGGAAATGGTCTCAATCCTTCAGTGAGCTGCTGGAGTTGGGCTGGCTTGTGGGGCAGGCATGACACAGGTCCCTGCCTGGGCTGAGGATGGAAGCAATAAAGGGGTCCAGCAGGGGTTCCTGGGGGCTTGTTAAGCCAGCTCCTCCTGCAAAACTGGGTCCTGGCCAAGAATGCCTGCTGGTTCCTTAACCTGCCCCATCGGGGCACCCATTCCAGCCTCCAGGGCTCCTGCCACTGCTGGTGGCCCTCCCTTCTGCCCACTCTCCTCCTGAACCTGCCCTTATAAGGCCACCCACTCAGGAGATGCAAGTTCTGTGTCCCCTGGGCAACTGCCCACACAGCGTCATCTGCTGTTCTCTGCCCAAGATTTTAAACCTATGATTTGATTTATTTTGTCGTTAAGAAAATGTTTCCAGATTGAACAGGGACATTAACTGGTTTCCAGATGAGGATACAGTTAGAAGCCAGGGTGCTAGGGTGCTGAGGAGCTGGGCCCAGGTCAGGCCCCAGATGCTTAGCCAGTTTCCACTTCCCTCAGTAGCCAGGCAGTTCCAAGAACTTAAGCAAGCTCTGTGCTTAGGTAACTCCCAAGTACTTGGGGGGGGGGGCAGCCCCTCCCCCCGCTGTGAGACATCTTAGTGCATTGTCAAGGTGCCCTGTCCTCCCTTGACCAGGAGTAGACACATGTCCCTGCTCCAGGCCAACTTCCTCTGGCACGTACCATTGGATCCTTGAGAGCCCCCCTCCCCCTTTATTGGTCGTGGCCTTGGAGAAGTGAAATCGGCTCCTGCTGCAGAGCCTGTGCCACTGAGTGCCTGCCCTTCCCTGTCCCAGGGAGCTCTGAGGAACCTGAAGCCTTCGCCTTCCGGCATGGTCTTGTGTTCCTTAAGTAGCCACGGTGCTTCTG